TGAGCTTTCAGGATTCTTTCTTTGTCTTTGGAAAGTTTGATTATGATATGTCTTGGTGATTTTTTGAGTTCCAGGGTGTTGAACTTCTTGAATGCTTATCTTCTCGTCTTTCACCATACTACAGAAGTTCTCTTCCAACAAACCTTCAACAATTTTCTCTGTGGTTTTCTCTTCCTGGTCTGGACTGGGTCACATGTAAGTTATTCCTCTTGATGTTGTCCCATATAAATCTTATGTTTTCTTAATTTTGTTGTTGTTCTTCTTTCTGATTGTTCCCTTAACAAAGTAGTATTGAGCGATTTATTTTTACTCTAATTCGGTCTTCCATTGGTTCAGTTTTACTCCTTTGCCCTTTCAATGTGTTATCTATTTTAGAAATCTTAGCATTAATCTTCCAGATTTCTACTTGTTTATGTATGGTTTCTAATTTTTTTGTCTATTTATTCTTGCATTGTTTTACTGAGCTCTTGTAGAAGTTTTATCTGTTTTCCTTAATTTTATCAGTGTTTTCCTTGATCTGTTTCTCAACCTTTGAAGGTACCTAAATAAAATTCTTTTGAATCCTTGTACATAGTTCTCATGCCATTTCTTCCTCAGGGAAGTTTTCTGGCTCTGTATTGCATCCCTTTTTGTACTACTTTATGCTGTTTCTTTGTGTGAACTGACTGTCAGTTGTATCTGAGACATTGTGAGGCTGTTATTTGTATTTACCTGGTGATTTTATGTTTGTGTGATTTGACAAGGGTGTTTTTGTTTTTTGTTTGCTTTATTTTGATATACCTGAGTGAATAGGGCTAGTGTGTTACTCTATTCACTAGTCAGGCAGCACTTAGGCATTTACCACTTGTTTCTTGGTGGGTGTGACAGATGAGAATGTGTTCACAAATCTCTGTTCGCGTAAACCAGTCAAGGGTGCATTTGGCTAGGATTAGCCACTGTCTGTGATCAGATGGGAGACTGGGCAATATACTTCCATAGTGGTTGATTGGAAACCCAAGGAGGGGTTGCTATGAGTCAAATCCAACTCCAGGACAGTGAGTTTGTTTTTTTGGTTTATTGATCAGATACTACAGAACCAGGTGGTGGCCTTCACCCAGTGGTTGGAGCTGCAGGAGGTGCACATGTGGTTAGGTCATGTGCATATGGCTGCTTTCTGGTAGCCAGCTACCAGTGTGGGTGCCAATGCAGTCCTTAGCATGCAAAGCCAATTATCAGGTTGCTGCCTTCATCCAAACACCTCTTGCATACTCAAAATGGCTATGCCATCAGGCCAGTCGACAGTCCACAGCTCCATCTGTTTCCTTATTCACAGTATTCATTTCCTTTCTTAGTCAATATTTAATCTACTTCTTTATTCTCCCTGCTGTTTAAATTGGTTTCTAGTTTCTTTGTTGTAGATATAATCAGCTTATCTCCCTAAATTATTATTTTACTATTAATTAAATAAGAACATGCAGGCTCAAGCCCTTCCCTTGGATATTCTACCTGCTTAGTCTGGGTGAGGTTCCCAGGTGAGTCTGTTATAACCTCTGGACAAAAACCTAGGCCTGTGCCTGACTTTAAACAAGTAATGTCAGATCTAAAGGAGGCTGCTACTACCCTTTCTCTAATGCACACAGTGTAGTAAGTCACCCATGAACAAGCAATGTTTCTAGACTAAATAGCCTCCAAATATACTCAGCTCACAAGACTGATTGCAAAGAATAATAGATGATCCATGCAACTGAGTACCCTCCCACACAGGATACAATACTGAAAAAATTAAATTAAAATAATAGTAATAAATAAATATAATACCCTCCCTAGCTCTGGTAGCATAGTGGCTAAAAGCACTTGACTGCTATCCAGAGGGCTGGCGGTTCAAACCCACCAGCCACTCCTCGGAAGGAAGGTTGGGCAATCCTACTTCCGTAGTGATACTGCCTCGGAAACCCAAGGAGGGGTCGCTATGAGTCGGGGCCAACTCGACGGCACATAACAACAACAACAACAATCATCACTACCTCCTCAGCATACTTTCTTTCATTGCCACCATCAGCTCCAATATTTTGTACACAGCTAAGTTGATTTTCTTACAATTTGCCCTCCAAACCAGAATGAACTCCAAGAACACTGCCAGATCTCAAAACCTACTATACAGCCACAGTAGTCAAAACTGCCTGGTATTGGTTTAATGACAGAACAATGGAATAGAATTGAGAGCACAGAAATACATCCATCAACCTATGGTCAGCTAATCTTTGACAAAGGGCCAAAATCCATTAAATGAGGAAGAGAATGTTTGTTACATAAATGGTGCTGACAAAACTGGAGATCCATTTCCAAAAAAATGAAACAAGACCTGTACTTCACACCATACACAAAAACGAACTCCAGATGGATCAAAGACTTAAATGTGAAACCTAAAACTATATAGTTCCTCAAGGAAAATCTAGGGGCAAATTTAAGGGCCCTAATATATGGCATAATAAATAGACTATCAAGCATAATCCAAAGTGCACAAACAACAGAAGAGAAACCAGGGACCTTCTAAAAATTAAATTTCTATGTGCTTCCAAAGACTTCTCCAAAAGAGTCAAAAGAGAACCTACAGATTGGGAAAAAATATTTGGTAATGATATATCTGACAGGGGACTTATCTTTAGAATTTACAGAAAACTCTAACACCTCAATAACAAAAAGACAAACAATCCAACTCAAAAATGGGCAGAAGATGTGAATAGACACTTCACCAAGGAGGATATTCAAGGGGCCAACAAACATATGAAGAAATGCTCACGATCATTAGCTACTAAAGAGATGCAAATCGAAACAACCGTGAGATATCATCGTGCTCCAGCAATAGTAGCAAAGTTCAACATGACAGAAAATAACAAATGCTGGTGAGGTTGTGGAGAGATTGGTACTCTCATACACTGGTCGTGGAACTGTAAAATGGTATAACCATTGTGGAAAGCAGTATGGTGATTCCTTCAAAAGTTGGAACTAGAGATACCATTTGACCCAGCCATTCCATTACTAGGTATATATCTTAAAGAAGTGAAAGCCATGACAAGAACAGACATATGCACACCCATGTTCATCGCAGCACTATTTACAATAGCCAAAAGATGGAAACAACCTAAGTGTCCATCAACTGAGGAATGGATAACCAAACTATGGTACATACACACAATGGAATACTATGCAACACTAAAGAATAATTAGAATCTGTAAAACACCGCATAACGTGGATCAACTTGGAGCACATTATGCTGAGTGAAATAAGTCAATCACAAAAGGACAAATATTGTATTAGTCTGTTATTGTAAAAGTCAAGGAAAGGTTTATCTGTGGAAGGAAATTTTCTTTGTTGTTTACCAGGGGTGGGAGGGGAGAGGAAGGAACACTGTTAGATAGATAGAGATAAGTATTGATTTGGGTGAAAAGAAGGGCAATGTACCAAATGTGAGTGACCAATATGATGGCTTTGAGAAGAGAAAGACAGAGAGGTACATGGGAGGTACAGACAACAAAGATGAACCCTTTTGCATATACAGTACTGCATTGACAGTGAAGGTAAGCATGTGTATATGGGTGGATAGATGGGGGGACAGGCTGAACTAGGAGGTATGTCTATGAAGTGGAGAGTGTATCCAAGAACATGTATAGGGTTGGCAGACAATGGTCCTATAAGTTTATGTGAATGATCAGAATTCCCAGGTGAGAATTCCTTGTAGAGCTGACAAGGGGCAAGGTTGTAGTCACTTCTTAGTCACAGCTAGCTACGCAGAGGGACTGAGTAGTTGAACCTGTGGGCTCGGGACTATTGTTGCAGGGGACATCAAGCTCAATTGGCATAACATACTACACAAAACATTGTTCTACCTCCTACTTTGGTGAGTAGTGACTAGGATCTTCTTAAAAGCTAGCAAGCTGCCATCTAGATGCAATGATGGGTTTCTCTGCAAAGACGAATGAAGAAAACCAAAAATTCATGGAAACAATTAGTCCTGGCAACTGGTACACCATCCGATCTGCAGCCTATATGACTATGAGACCAGAAGAACTAGATGGTGTCCAGCTACCACTGTCATTCACTTGGAAGGGGATTTATGTAGGAGATCCTTGATAGAGAGGGAGAACAATGTGGAACAACACTCAAAATCATTTGGAGAAAAAAAAAAAGGTTGCGGGGGGAGACAAGGTTTGCTGGTCCGAAAGAGCCTGGCAGAACCACTGAGACTATGGCCCCTAGCTGCCCTTCAGGTCTGGAATTGAACCCACACCTGTGGTTTCCAGCCAAACAAAA